TCGTACTCGTGTAAGTATCCTAACAACAGAAGTATGTGATAGTTTTCAGGCTTTAGCATAAACCACCGTTGCATCCAGAAGACAATCTCCAGCGTGCAGAGCTGGCACCTCAGTAAGGAGGTAGGGCAGCTAGGTCTGGCCGCTGTTAGCAGCCGGAAAACGATCTCATGCACACCTGAATTCTCGTTTTGTGCCATTCAATTCATTCTGAGAATTTTACTAGATTTACAAATTACTTTCTTCAACCCTTATTCAGAGAATTTTTTCCACCTAAACCATCTCAAACTCTCGAAAATAGATTCAGTGCCTTTATCTCTCTTCTTCAAGAGAAGACAATATAGTTTCTGAAAGGAAATTGAGAGAAAAGCAGCAGGGGAGGAGCAGAGAAGAATGATCAGTGCCTATAAATACATTTATATAAATACATCAAAAATAAAGACCTGGAGTGAGAAATATACTTCCCGTTACTTTTCACAGTTTGTACAGGAGAAACATAAGATATACATTTCTATTGATTTTGGTTGGCTTCAATTTTTGGTCCATGAGGTATAAAGAAATTATTTCATTATGGTCACTATCATGTGCTGTCAGACACAGAGAAAGTCTGCATTGCTACTGCGGATGCAGTGTCTGCTGTGGAGGTAAAAATCTCCAGCTTCCAGTGTCAGCTACCAACACACTTCAAACCATTCAAGATCTCATGTGATCTGAAAGGGACATCTTTTCAACCTCAGTATAGCAGGCTTGGTGCAGTGGATGCAGAACACAAAAAAGAAAGGCTGAATGAATCACAGCGTTTGGAGGGAAAGGCTGTGGAAAATACTGCAAGGAGGGAAGAAAGCATCTCCTGCCTCCCAGCCACAGTCAACAGCTATTTGCATAATTGCATTCTCTGACTTCTTTAGAAATAGCTAATGCTGGGCACAGCTGATCTAAATAAAAAAATATTATTTTCACCACTAAGAGTATATGTAAACACTTCCCCCCTTATGCTAAGCTTTTGCAAAACATAATCAGAAGCGTAATTTTGATAATTTGTCTTTTGCTTAGCTTGGTTTGTTGTCACTCTATTTCCACCTGTAAAATCCCGCGGGATGTAACCATTAACTCTGTCAAGTGAACTTTGCTTTGGTTTTAATAGCTTAAAGAACAGCAAATGCTGTGAACTACACTGCAATTGCTGAAGCATCAGACACTGACAATGTATTTTTCTTTCCCTTCGTAAAGAGGACATGGTTGGTAACTGGAAGGCTTGGGTGAGGGCGTCTTCAGTATCTCCCCACAGCAGCAAGCAGGTATTCTGTTTATTCCATTTCAGAACAGTCTGAATAATGTCCAGCTTCCAGGACTGGGCAGCCCTCATGTCTTCTCCACCTTTCATGCAACGATCAGCACATGAGAGGTGAGCAGGAAAACTCTGTAGTGATGCTAAGAGGTTCCAAGTAAAACAACAGTCTGAAGTATGATCTGCACTTAAATAGCTCTAGTGGGATATTTCAGGTAGCATTAAAAAAAGGATAAATAATTCCACGTGCTACTCAGTTGTCACAGAGCGGCACCTAAATCACCACTTTCTTTGCTGTAGCATCAAGACCTTGGCCATTTCCTACGGCCATCTGAATAACGCATGAAAAGACTGACATCAGGAGTCAGGGTAGGAGATTTTCTATTGATATACTTCCCGAAATCTTCAGGAACTGCTAGTAAAAGAGAAGTTGGTTGGTTTTTTTAAAGCGGAGCTGTAAATGGAATTGCCATCTTCCTTCTTACGGCCAAGGAGGCTCAGAAACACACAGACATATGAGCATTGGTCTATAAATAGAATCCCAATAAGCTTGTTTGGAAGTTAAGCTAGCAATGATAATTTGGCTCATTAGGCATATTCCTGTCCCAGTATCATCATAACTTTTCCTGGTTTGCATGCCATCAAGCATGCCATTGATGGCCAAATTCTGGTTACTTCGTAAGTGAATTTTACAGACAGGCCTGTGCCAACACTCTGTGTAATCCAATGACATTTTAATATTTGCTTTAGTCCAGCCAATTTCTACACTTAGAACAAACTCCATCAGGAAAAAAACATCTGCCTTTAAAAAAAGAACAACTATTTTTATCTTTTAACTGTGTTCTGCTAAAAATATTCCAGCTAGTAAAATATTCCCTCATTGCTATGGAAGCTACAATGCTCCTGTATCCTTCAACATGTCTTAACTAAATGACAGCTACAATGAATTATGGTAAAATTGCATTGGTGTAGAATGGTCACCTTCAGTACAATTAAATTTTCTTGTACAACAGAAGAATCGTGCTATTCCTGTTCTCCCAAGCTCTACTGCAAATATAGGCTGACAGGTTAGTAAAAGCATCTCTAAACAGTTGTAAGAAATCAGTCATCTGATTCAAGAATTCTGTTACTCAGTTAACTTATTGTTCAGCTACTGAAAACTTCATTTTCCCATCTGTGAGATGACAAAATCCAATGAAAACAATATTAATATTTATGTTCTAAATAGAAAAGGCTTTCAAAGCACGTTTATAAAGTGGAAAATAAAAGCAGACATTCATCCAAAACTTTCTGGCATTTTGCATACTTAAAATTTTTCAGCCTTGCTGCCAGGATTTGTTGGCTTAAGAGCAAGAGGTTATATTTTATAACAGCTATTAATACGGGTGGATAGTGATTTAACTTTTATATAATTTGAATGGTAAGTCTCTATTATATGGGTCAGTTAATTTTAACTACAGTTCATACTGCCAAGAATACTTATTTTCCAAAATTGCCCACAGGTGGGAAAAAAATATATTTATTTGGGCTATTTTAAATGTTTCATTATAGTAGAGTTTACATCCTATATAAAGATCATTCAATAGAATGTGTGTGCATATGCACACATATCAGAGCTACTGGTAAAAATGATATGGATATAAAAATACTGTGGAATTAACAGTGAACTTTTTTTCTTTCATACACAGTGTCTAATTTTTAATGAATCATGTTGCTTTTTTATGAAATGTGCAAAATCCAATACCTTATGTTAAAAACAAACTTGGCAATCATTATGTTAAAAACAAACTTGGCAAGAACAGGAGAATGCAGCTGATGGACAATTAAATATTCTGTTTGAAAGAATTTTGTAAGTCCTTATGCATGGAATGCTTTCCTTGTATTGCAGCCTACCAATACTTCCCACTTTTCTGATCAGACATACACTCAAAAATGGTTACATCAATACATCCAACTGCTAAGATTACATGGAGCATCTCTCCAATGGTCTGCGTGTACCCAGTGAGAGAACACGCAAAAGACCAGCAACCTCTACGCATTTTTTCCTCACACGCTCAAAACAGCAACGGTCAGCACAGGATACATTTCTATTATTACATTAGTTTGCAGATCAAGAGAGAAAACCCATCTTTTAGGCAAGAAACATGGGCCCAGTGCAGGAACTGGCTCACACTCTGCCCTCCAGGCAGTACAAGCAAAACTGGCCTAAAATAAACAGAACTTTGAATTCAAGCATACCTATCAGCAGCAGCTCAAAAGTAGCAACAGGTACTTCTCTGTGAAGGCTGACACTATTTTTTTCTTTTTGCATATTGGGAAAAAAACACCACTGCACACACCACAAGACAGAAAAAAAACCAATCTTTTGTTTACACTTTCCATGTACAGAAGTGGATGCAGTAAGAAAACTGAAGATGGTAAGTCCTGAAAGTGATGAAATCATAATAAGAAAGAGATTTCTTTAAGAAGACTACTATAATTTAAAAGCTTAATTTTGATCTTAAATTGGGGGGAGAGAGTGGTGGAGTTTGTTTGTGTCTCTCAGAAAGAATGAGAGATTTGGATTTGTTTTTTACTATCGGTCTGAGTAGTCATGCTCTGCTACCTTACTGCAAAAAGCACTTGCTATTTGTTCTTTATCTGGATTACTACAGTTATTCCAATTTAACTTGTACTGTATATTACTACTGTATAAACCCAACAATGAAGATGAGGAGACTCGTTTGTGTTTATGCATATAGAAAAAAAGATATCCAGGGCTGACCAGGGAAGTAGGACATTGAAAACTGTCTCTGAAATATGCATCCCTATGACAGTTCATCAGGCTCTCTGGATTGCAGTTGCTGCTTTTGAGGAAAGAGGAAGGTGCAATGGACTACAACAAATTCATTTTCAAAGAGGTGTATGTTGTTTATAGAAGGCACTCGTTTTTTACTTCTGTGACTTGGCACCATCATGTGGCCACTCTGAGTTTGCTCAACTAAAGTCACAACTTACATTGTTACTCTAGAAAACTGTTTGCATCAAATTAATTACAGTTTACAAATTGTTTCAGTCTACTTTAGAAGGAAATGGTACCTATCTTAAATATTTATGTTCATTAAATTCTGAACACATTTTCTTCCAATTGTCCATTTTTTCCCCTGAATCCGTGCTCCTTTAATCATGGTTTTCCTCATGATCTTTAAATCAGAAGTTGTTAGGCTACAAAAGTCAAAGACATTTTCTGTGGTTGGTCTTGGTCCAAACTTTATCAATAGTGTACAAAAATTAGAAAAATAATATAGACGATTATCCTCTTCCTCACTACAAGAGCTCTGGGAATGATTTGCAAGATAAAATAGGTCAGTATTTTAGTATTTTCTGGTTTACATCAGAAAACCCAAAGGATTTAGAATTTCAGTAAATCTCACAAGCATATTGTTCACGCAATTTGATCCAAAAGGTAGTGTACATATCAGGACAACTCAAGTTAGTCAGGTATTCCTTTTGCAAAGTTTCAGGGTCAAAACTGGAAGAAAGATACCACGTGATGTAAATTTGTATTCTGATATGTTTGCGTAACGCTTACAGGAGGATATCAGGAAGTTTTACCAAGCGCCAGTGTGTAGCAGCCTCCATGCATTCACGTTGCTTATACAGAGGCACAACTTCATGCTCACCAGACAAAGGATTGCTGTCATTTACTTCAGAGCGGAATAATGAGAAAAAGCAGTGTAATTTATAGCAATATATTTTCAGTATTTTTTTGAAAATATATACATCTAGAGTACTTTCAATAACGAAATAGAGTTCGCCATAATGCTAAAACTGGTTCTGCCATTTCTGTGATAAAATAGATGGTTTCAGCTGAAATGGGGTACTGATATTCTTTAAAATATATACAAGTTATATACAAATAGAAAATTACATTACAAATCTTTTAATTGCAGTCAAAAATAATCTCAATATTTTGTAATAATTTGAACACCCAGACAGGTGTACTGTTTCTAAACAGACTGCAATAAAAGCAAATGTAGTTTTTCAGATTCCTCAGGCTGAGGTAATGCCCACTTCTTCTTTACATACTGAATGTCTATCTGTCCAGATTCTTTGGCCAGTGCAATGCCCAACAATCCATTTGTTTTTTCTGGTTCTCCCAGTAGAGCCATAGTTACAACACTGAAATCAAAAGAACAGGAGAATGCTTTTAACAGAGGCAAAACTAAAAGAAATCGGTGTTTTCAAATGTGGTTTTAGCAGGTTACTGATAGTTAACTAAACAATTGCTTTTTTTCTGCTCATCACAGTGTAATATTCCTCGCCATTTCAAGTCCCAGCGCCTTACCTAGCTTTTCAGCAGTTGCAATCATTGAATGTAAATATAACAGGCAATTCTTCCCCTGTTCACAGATTCCATCATCGATTTTTAATCATGACTTAAAAATTATTTCAAGCTTGTAAAAATGAACTATTTTTTATGGTATTTTCCAGTACAATGTAACAACTTTAAAAATTATATTATTTTCTCCCAAAACTAGTAGCTTCAAGGCCACTATAGCTTGTAAGGCTACAAGAAAAACTTTTACTTAGAAGGATATTCAGCAAGACTAACTTAAGCCTAGGGAAGACACAGTATCCCAGTAGGGCTTCCATCAGAGAGGAAAGAGAATTCTCAAGACTATAATTCCGAAAGCCTGAATTTAACTTGTATTCTGCATCAATCTACAGGATACCCAGGTCCCTACACTGACTACAGGAACAGTATTGTGAGACTACCGTGATGTTAGTCTTGGTGAACAAGCGCTAGCCAAAAAAATTCAAGTTTACTCTGTAACAACTAAAACAATATGTCTTTATATTTGTAACCATACTATATATAGACATTTTAAAATGTTGTCCAACATACCTTGCCTATTTTAGGGGTTGACACAGCAAAGCTATCTTTGAATTTAAGCAGTCCAGTGATTTTAGTGAGAACAAAATTTTTCTCTTCACATAAACAGCAACTGCTTCACGTACAGACATCTGTCCCAACTGATAACACTATACCTGATCTTGATTTAAACTAATGTAGTCTCTCCTTTATCAGACTGCATGAAATAAGTAAATAAGGATAAACTAAAATTTAGCTTGCTACAGTCTCTTTCCTCACCTCCAATACTTTAAAAAAATACAGTTAGAAAAGCAAATTCTAATGAACATTTAATGTCAAGCAAAAAACACCATCCAAACTCTCATCAAAATGTAAATGATAATAATGTTAATACTGCATTAGAAAGGGGGTAATGTAATGTTCTTACTTCTCTGATGGAATAGTCTGCTTTGCCACAGGCAACAAATCATTTTCCAGAAGATCCCAAATGTAAATATTAGATGATGCATCCAGGACGAAAAACACAGCAGGTCTTGTTAAAGCCCACTGCAGGGCAGTAATTGGCTGGCCGTTTGTGCTGTTGTTCCACTGCATGAGGGGATACTCTGATGTCATTTGGTGTAATCTAATACTTCCATCTGAACAGCCAACCTGTATCATAGTCAAAAAGAAAACACTTCCTGGGAATAAAACAAACTAAGCAAGATAAAAACTGCAATTTAATTATTGAGAATATCAAGCACATAAATAAAATTAGTGTTCTGACTTAAATGACACGTATTTCTCATTCCTTACTCCATGGACTATCTGGATTTTAACTATTAATATAATTTTCAGTTCAAAAGCAGTAACTCTGTACTAAGCATACTAGAGTAAACTGATCCACTAATGCTAGGATGAAGTCCTAATTTTCTATTTTCAATAAAGCTCACAAACTATCAACCTCACTAATGGTATGAGCCAGCAAAACTTGGCAGTAGTCTGAATTGGGGCAATGTCAGAGCCTAGAGAACAATTCAGAAGGCTACTTAGTGACACGTGATCCGTAAAACCAACAACAGCTTTCAGTAGGACAGGCTGTGTTTAACAGTAGAACTTCCTAGAATGTTCAAATTATGATGACTTTTTACAGTGACTCTGTAAATTGTGCTTACATTTAAAAGGACTGTGCAGATACAAACTTGTAAAAGTCAGTACCACTCTAAATAGATGCGTTTGGGAAAAAGGTAAGAACATCCACACTGGTAAGAGTTCTGACTGTCCAGTGGTTACACAAAATAAGTACACTGTTGCCAAACACATTGATTTTATACCTTAGGCAATCCCAATGAAGTCATGTAAATCATGGCAAATTTAGAAAGAAAGCATTTTTAAGAGAGGATCAAGTACCAGTATGTGCAGGTGGAAAATCCTACCAGAGTTAGATTGAACTTGCATTGAATGAACTTTCACAAGGGAGACAAAAACAGTAGGTGTGTCAATATAAACTGCTGAGGGCAGACTTGAACACACCTGACCACATGGTACACTGAAGAAGAAAGGAAAGCAGGGAATGCCCAGAGCTTCCCCATGGACCTTTATTTCATAGAAATACTGATGTTTTGTCTCCCAAATGATTATGTCACTAAGAGACATATGGTAAGAGTGAGAAACAGCCGAGGCTTTGTTAACAGCAGAAGAGCTGCTTGCAATGCTGAATTTCAGTAAGAACAAACAGTAAGTTATAGGGCTGAAGTGAGATTGCCATTTGTTTCTGTGAGCCAGATGGTCCATGTTTTACATAAGCAAAGTCTGAACACCAAGACACAAGATTTGTTGTCACCCTTCATGGCAGATTGGAATCAGTAAGGTAAATCAACTATCACATCTAGTTCAATATGTCAAATTAGAAATCCTCCCTCAGCAATTAAAAAATTAAACTTGTATTACATAATAATGTTTTCATACCAAAAACAGCGGCTTTCCAAAAGGGAAGAAGTCAATTGCATTGATGCTTATTGACCTCAGTCCACTCTCCTGGGGTCTGAATAGCTTTGGAAGAACTTTTAAATCATGTCTTGTACCGTGGCCTACCAGCCCCTATGAACAATATAAAGAAAAAGCATGAAACAAAACACAACAGAAATTGCATTGTCAGTGTTACAAGAAAAAGTTAAATAATTCAACCTCAAAAAATCCTTAATAGCTAAAAAATTTTCATACTTAACAGGTTTTAATAATAGCCTCAAATTATGAATTTTATATGCAGTCTACTGGTAAAATTCCAAGTAAATGGGGCAGCTTCCAAAACAAAAAATAACAGTGAGATGAATTTCAGCACATTACTCACAATGTTTGTTCCAACAATGAAATGATTAGGATCAGAAGACAGAAATTTAATTGTCAGTGTCTGGGGCACTCTCTGGCGCACGTCCTTTGGGAAAAGGCTAGGAAAAACACACAAGGTAAAAATTACATAAATACATACAGGAAGTTGTCTCCTAAAGCTATGCAAGTACATACCAAAACTCTTGATCTAAAATGTCTACGACTAGCTCTGGGAAGAAGTGTATATCAAAAAAAAGCCCAAGCAACTAATGAAAATATTGTTAAATATATCTTACATAACATCAAATTAATAAAGTAGAGGGAAAAATAGCTTTGTGAGATACACATGTGAAAACTAAATGTCCCTGTCTTCTTACCTGTTATTCAATTCCATAGTAGAGCTATGTACTAACTTCACTTTCCCTCCAGGAATTAAACCTAAAATTATACAAAATAATTATTTGAAGTGATTTAAGCACTTTGCATTAAGAAACTGCTATCATCAAATTAAAACCTAAAATAGTAAGCAAAAGGATACTTCATAATTATTTTTTTTATTGTAGATACAGCTTTTGATATGTAAGAATCTTCATCATGTAGAACTATTTACTTCAGAGTTCAAATCTGAAGAGTTGTAATCTTTGACAGAAATCAAAGAAAGAGGACAAAAGGAAATATGATTATATGTTTGGGTTAGTTTTACAGTATACATATAACATCCTGTAATATCACTCCATAAAACGCAATTCTATCAATGGTGGAAATGAACATTTATGTCACTTGGATCTTTGACAACGAATTACAGTAATGAGAGACTGTAATAATGCTTCCACAAAGCTGGTCTATGTTACTTGTTAGGAGAGAACAACATAAACAATTGAAATGCTTCAAACACAAGAATTTTTTGAGGATGAAAAAATGAATGCTGGTTGCAGTAAAACTGTGTCAACATATGACCACAGCTTTAAAATATACCTCTCCACAGACATAATACCCAGCTTTAGCAGCTTAATATAGTTGGACATTGCACACAAGATTATAAATTGGAAAACGGATCCAAAATTCTAGTTTGTTAGCATTAATTCATTGTTCATATGCGTGTTTTATAATGTATCAGGATTTTAATCACCACCTTTTCCAGTTAGGTAAGTATGTAAGTCTAAACTTGGTTAAAGAACAAAAAATATAATTTTCTTTGTTCATATAACTCAAAAAGGACTAAATGGACTTTGTTCTTTACTTTTTTCATGAAAACTTTTTTCTCACACTAAATTAAGCACCTTGCCCCAAAGAGAACTTTCAGGATCATCATCAAAATAGAGATACAGGCAAAACCAAAAAGCATCGTAACAGATTCAGTTAAAACTACAGAAAGAACAGGAGGACCGAGAAGGACATAAAATCTAATATTCTTTGAAAAAAGAAGCTGTTGAGGACACAGGAACCTGCTTTGACTTTACAAAAAAACGTGGTTGCCTGTGGTGGCAATTACCAATTTGGAATTAGCAGACGAAATTCAGATAGCAGTGAAAATAACTCTCATGATACCCAACCAATAACCCCAAATATCAGATATTTGTCCTATTCAGAATGAAATTTTTTCATCAGTAATTTTTCCACCTTCTAAACTATTTTTGTCATCACTGACTCTTCCTTTCTATTGTAACTTCATAATTTCAAAATTCAAGTACTTTATTCTACCTCTAATGTACAGTACTCACCTAAATCAGTTTGTGAACCAGCTAAATCCACTTTTTGTAATTCAACAACTACCTGAAAAGTCAATATTTAACATTAATAAGCAATAAATATTTACCCGACTTCAAAGTTTTTTAACTTGTTGTAATAATGCATGACATAACTCTAAAGGAACGTTTAGATAGGTAGGGCGAACATTACAATGATTACCAGTAGATTCTCTATCTCCTGTCAATGTCTGCTATGCTAAAAATAGCTTCATACGCCTGCGGGATGTTCCCTGCTGGAAAGCAGAATATGGGAAGTTACATTCCACACTTAATCGCTAGTCGGCATCTTGTTGGTTTGGTCAGTCACAAAAAACCTACCTTAAATCCCCAAATAAGGAATTGTAAATCTATTTTCTGTGCATTTTCACCATTCATGAAATAGAAAGAGTAGATCATTCAGCCTGAATCTGTTGCTACTGAAGTTACTTAGAGCTTTAAGGGACTTCACTAGTGATACAGAAGGGCAATACTTTTATCCCCTTATTATTCAGAGCCATTCAGTTCCTC